GCTTTTTGGCAATTCCCCCCGGATGGGGATTTGGGGACCAAAAAGCCGGACGTGTCCGGGGAAATCCGGACGTATGGTAACCCTACTAAGTGACCAGCCTCCTCCTCTGGGGAGCAGATTCCTAGAGCAGCTGTACTGATTGTCCAGCTGTGTTATCTTGGTTGAAAGTGCAGCTGGCCAAAAAATTGGGGGGTGGGGAAATTTGCAAAAATAATTGAAATTTCAAAGTTGTTTCCATTTCTCAGTTTTCAGAATGGAACTTCTTTTGATTTGTTTCAAAAATATGTTGAAATAGAATTTTTTTTCAAAAGTTTTCTCCTTTTTCCCAAAATGGAACAAAATAATGTTCATTCCCCCCCCACATTTTTCTGTTTAGTACTTCCTCTCTGTACCTCTTCAAAAGATCTCCCAGTTTTGAAAAAGTGGCAAAAAGAAAAAGGAAAAACTAAGGGGGAAAAAAACTGGAAATTATTCATTTTAGTGGCACACAGGAGAAGAAAGGACTAAAAAGAGAAAGAGATGAAAAACAAACATGAAAGTTTTTAAAATGTTCAGCTTTTTAAAAGCAAAATGAAATTTCAGTTTGAAATGACACAAAAATGTTTGTTTCATTTTGAAATTTCCTGTCAAAAAATTGAAAAATTTGTTGCAAGTGACTTTTCCCCATGAAAACAGCTGTTGTCTACTAAACCCCTTTTATCTGCAGGAAGATTTTTTTGGTTGAAAATTTTCAACCAGCTTTAGTTGAAAGTAGGGTGACCAGATTACCACTATAAAATATCGGGACGGGGGCGGAGCCAAAAAAGGGGGCGGAGCCAAAAGGGGGCAGAGCAAAAAGGGGTGGGGGGACAGAGCAAAAAAAAAAGTTTTAAGGGGCCTGGGGCATTAGCAGGCCCCGCACGCTGCCCTCCCCGAGTCCCCGCGGAGCCTCCCGCCCCCTGGCCCGCCACGGGCATATGCTGGAGTCCCCCGCGGAGCCTCCCGCCCCCTGGCCCACCACGGGCATATGCGGGAGTCCCCGCGGAGCCTCCCGCCCCCTGGCCCGCCATGGGCATATGCGGGGCGCAGTGGGTCTGGGCGGGGGCAGCACGGAACAGGCAGGAGCCAGGGGGGGCAGCAGGGGCCGAATCCCCGCTGCTGCCAGGGAGCCCCGTGCCTCTCCCTCCCGCTCACGGCTGT